ATGCTTTCAAAATCTGGGCAGAGGGGAGGGAAAGTGGTGAAGTACAATTAATTTTTGAAAATTTCTATGCACAACTGACATTTCATTAACCTGAGCAAATGGTAGAGACGTGCCTAACTTCAAAGGAGATATAAAAATGCAATAGTATCCTCTGCTTTGATGGAAGTAGACAAGAAGTAGAACTGAAATATGTGAATATGTATGAATGGCACTAATGATAATGCAAGGGTATTTAAAATGTGATAACGAAATTTTGCTGTAGGTAGTTCCAATGAAAATAAAGTTATGGGCAACTTAGTGTTGAAAAAAAGGTTCAGTTTTTGACAGATCATTGTGAAATCCCACTGTTCAAATGCCACAAGAAACATACTGGTAGATAATAATAATGATGGATAAAGTTTAGTGAGCTTGCTGCAGCAAGGGAGGGCACAGCCCGGAACAATTGTGGGGCATCACAATGAGGGAGTGACAGTTAGAGGGGCTAGTAGGCTTCCAACAGGATGTGTGCTCGTGCTGGAAATTATCAGAAGTTTTTAAGGCAGCAGGGGACACTTCTTGACTGCACAGTGTCCAGAAGTGGGAGGAATTCTGTGAGTAAATGCAGGACTAGGGTTGTCATTGCTGAGGGGGCAGCTGTCATTGCTATTAGCAGTGTGACCCTGTTGCAGTCTTGCCTGTGTCACAGTTCAGTCCAGCTCACAGAATGGGATTGCTCCATCCCTTCCTGTATTCCGTAAACATTATTTATACGTGGTTGGGAACACTGTGTCCTGGTTGCCAGCAGAGCCAGAAGAAGCAATTCTGCTTTTCACAGAAAGTAGTTTAGAATTTATTATGTTCCATACAACTTTGTCATCATTACAGCCAAAAAAAAAATAAATAAATAAAGTTTATTTTCACATGATGTTAATAGGTGGGAGTGGGCAAATGTCCTCTTAGGTTTGGTGTTTTCGCTGTGTCTTCAGTTCATTGGTTAGGTTAGTGCTAAATAATGAAAAGAAAATAGAGATTTGGACCAGACAAGTGAAGCCTGGTAAAAAATGCATGGACCTAAGAATCAAAGACAGTTATGGACTTGATACAAGTGAATTATATAAATTTAGCAAGTATATAAACTCTTTTCCTTCCCTTTCTCTATTGCAAAACACTAACCTTATCTACAGATTGATGATTCAGTCAAGCAATTCGCTGATGTTTAAGCTAAAATGTTAGCATTTCCAAATGCTAATATTAAACGATTCCAAGTCACTTCTCTAAAATAATATCAGCAACAAAAACTCCATGTGAGAAATGTATTCTTTTACCTTTTGGCTACTTTTACCCATTTTTGCCATCTCCTACCCCCAGCCTCTGGCACCTATCAATCTGCTCTCTTATCAATGAGTTCAGGTTTTGTTTTTTTCTGTTTTTTTAGATAAAAGGTTACAACTGCCTATTACAAAATAAATAGGTTTTAGGAATGTAATATACAGCATGGTGACTATACTTAACAATATTTTATTGTATATTTGAAGTTGCTAGGAGAGTAGATCTTAAATGTTTTCATTACAAGAAAAAATATTTTGTAATTATGTGAGGTGATTGTTAAGTAAACATATTGTGGCAATCATTTTGCAAAATATACATATATCTAATCATTATGTTGTACACCTTGGACTACTACAATATTACATGTAATTATATCAATAAAATTTGAAAATAATTTTAAAAAAGAAGTGTGTTTTTTGGTGACAGCAATTCATGATTTTTTTTTTAATTTTCATTAGATACAAGCTACATTTCTCTGTGTTTAAACCCATTTGAGTAGCTTAAAAATAAATACAAACACACATACACAGATATATGCACTCATAATGTTACTATAAAGAAAGATCAAAAGTTATTTACAAAGAAAATTATATGAGTAAGAAATATATTAATAATGGAAATGTTCGTAACATTTGGCATGCAGTAAGTATACTATCATATATAATATAAACTATTTCCATGTGAAATAAAAACAATGATGCCTGCATCTTTTATCAAATAAAATAGGCTAAGTTAAAACCTTTTTTAAAATTGTTAAGTTTTTTCAAGTTAAAAAGTATATTCATAAATAATAACCTAAAAAGGTGGGAGAGTGAGAGTCCCAACAGAATATAAGGACCCCATAGATGTGCAGCTCAGCCACATATGAGTGGCAGGCCATGGAGCTGCTCATGGTTTCTAAGAACAAGCGGGGCCTCAAGTTCATCAAGAAACTGGTGGGGATACACATCTGTGCCAAGAGGAAGAGAGAGGAGCTGAACAACATCCTGGCAGCCATGAGGAAAGCAGCAGCCAAGAGGTGAATCCGCTCCACTCTGTACATGATCAAATCTTTTTGGAAAAATAAAATTAATTAATAAAATAATATTTGCAGTTGTAATTGATTAAGGATCTTGAGACAAGGAGATCAACCTGGATTATAAAGGTGGATCCTTTATACATTTATAAATGTATATATTTATACATATATAAATGAAGGACATTTATACATATCCTTCAGGGAATTACAGGAAGATTTCACGTCACACCACGCCACACACACCCCCGTACTCCCCCCCCCCCGGCCTCCCCCCTCCCCCACCACACACACATACTCAGGAGAAGTGATGTGAAAATGGAGTAAAGAAAGACCTGGAGATGCTGGCCTCAAAGCTGGGAAGTTTGGAGTGCGTGGCAACAAGACCATGAATGCCCCAGCCACCAGAAGTTTGGAGGAGACTAGGAGTAGATTCTCCCCTACAGCCTCCAGAGGGAGCCCGGCGGACACCTTGATACGAGCCCAGTGATGATTTCAGAATTCTGGCCTCAGGATTATGAAAGAATAAACTCCTGCTGTTTTAAGTCCTCAGTTTATGTTAATTTGTAAGAGCAGCCACAGGAAACTAATATAAGCATCATATGCAAAATAAAGTTTAACACTGTATAGATTCAGATTATTGAAATAGGTTATAAAAATTATGAGAAATCGGTTATTTTGACCTTGCCATTCTAATATAAGCTCAGAGCCTCTTAGTAACATTGCTGTAGCAAGCAAAGATAAAACAGTGAGGATCCTTTACAGAGATGAGGTTTTTGACAGGCAGGGTTTATTTTTTGTAAATTTATAAAAAGCTAGTTATATTATTTCTGGAAAAATTAGAATAATTATTTATAGAAAGCACCATTAATTAATTGTTTTCCATTTTGAGGAAAGTTTTGATTTTCCCACAGGAATTAATCTGAGTGATAGCTGTCTTCATATCCATTAAAAACTAGTTAAACTTCTGGAAAGTAGGCAGTGTTATTATAATGCTCTATCCTTGAAAACAATATAATTTACCAAAAGGAGGTTATAAAACAAAACAAAACAAAAAACAAAGTCATCTATCCTTAAATGCTAGGAAATGGTCATAACCTCACACTACGAACTTAGTAACCAGATAAACTACTATGTAATCCCAGTTAAAAGAAGATGCCTGACAACTGAGTTGACAAGGCTACCATTTAATGATATGAATAGCTAGCGGGAGAAGTAGGCTTCAAATGCCAGGTAAAAAAAAAATCTATTTTTTACATAGTAATTTCATAAGGATAATTAGACCTCAAAATTAACATGTAAAGTGGGCAATTTACTATATAACTAAGCAGTTCAGTCAAAATATACCTTTAGGACACATTGGTGTCTGGTTATAATTTGTCTAAGACTAGGAAGAGAGTATATACGAAGCAAAGAGAAGGAGGTCTCCTGAGAAGACCATGCATTATGTCACCATTAACTATTGAGAATTGGCTGTATATAGAATTGACCTCATACAAACAAAAGAAGAAAAAGAAAGGGATACATGCAAATAAAATGCACTAAATGGAAAGAAAATGTAGATACCATGTAAAAACCAATAAACAAAAATTGGGAAGAAAAGATTTTGTAGAGTAACTTTCATTCTCTTAGTTACGAACAAGAAAAACAAAGCAAAACAGAAAGCATCCAGGAACTCCATTAAAAAAAAAAAAAAGATAAGACAATGGACTATGATGAAAATTGAGCCAGGCTAACTAAGGAAATAAATTAAGGAGAAATAACACAATTGGATACAATCAAGGGTAAATAAAGCAGAAAAGGGAGAATCAATAGTGTAGAAAGACAAATCAGTTTTATGGAAGACAGGCTTAAGAAAATCATACATAATGTGAAAACAAAGGGCAAAGAAAGCCAGCCAGTTTATATAAAGAACACAATAATTAAGGACAAAGAAATCTGAAATAGTGGTATTCTAGCTTACCTGAAAGGAACAAAGGCAATGAAATATGAAATAGTCAAATTAAAACAACAACAAAAAGAAAATTTCAATGAAGTAAATGAAAATGTGAGTCTTTAACAAAAAAATATAAAATGAAAGAAATCTGACTATGGCAAAATTTACATTGATCCCAATTATTCATTCTTCCTTGTGTTCAGAGCCTTTGTTCATGGGACTTTGTAGTTCTTCCCACTGGAGGTGGAATTTACTTTTCTGCTCCTCTGATGAGGGACTTGACCATGAGACTCACTTTGACCACACGCATATGTGAGGAAAAGGCAGTGTACAACATTTATGCTTAACATCAAGAGACATCACAGTGCCTCTTGTTCCTCTTGAGCTTTTTCCATCCCCGTGAGAATTTTATCTATGCCCTGGTGTCCAGGCCTCTCACTGGCACCTTCCAATCCCCCACTCAATGGTCCAGAGGGTATGATAAACACGATGCAGACATGAGCCCAAACTGCAGCTTAGAGCCATATCCAGCTAATCCCAGCCTATATCCACCAGCCCCCCCCGGCAAACCCACCATCATGTGATCACATGTCAATTACTGTTTTAAATCAATAAATTTTTAGGTGAACTCTTACATGGCATTTTTGTGGCAATAGTTTGCCTTCATATTCCCTACATAGTGTACTCTTCATACCCCTACCTGATATTTTTTGTAGATACCTTATCTATTTATCTGTTTACCTGTTTATTGTATCCACAATGCAATGGGAGTTAGGGTTGAGGTCTTGGCTGCTTCTGCACTGCTCTACACTCAGCATCTCAAAATGTATCTGAAAGGAAATAGTCAATAGACTATTAATAAATATTTTGATACATTAATAAACAAATGCTAGTAGTCAAGCAAATATCTAAATAGTTTTAATGGAAGTCCCTAACCAACCTCTCTATGGAAGCATAGAATCTACACAATTTCCAATAAAATCTACTTCATGTCACCCTCTAGACAACTGGATAATTAGCAGAAATAAAAACTACAAATATCAGAACAGAACAGTATCAAAGTGCTGGTGGTAGCACGGAATGTAGTTATAAACATAGAATTGTGTTAAACTAACACAGATAATTACAGATATGAAGTTATGTTGTAAATTGTGAAAAATTCACTATCATGAAAATCTTATGACAATTTGTCTACAAAAAGTCTGAGATGAAAATCTCAAACATGGAAAAGTGATTTGAAAAGGTAGTAGAAGAAGGTATAAGTAAATTATCATTTTAGTTTTTATAAAGAGAATCAGTATTCCGCTTGGTTTCTAAGGTTGATAAATCAAGAAATATAAAGATTGATAAAAACATGTACATAAAATTCTGTGAATAGGATGAAAGTATTGTATAATTTCCAGACTATCACAAAGAAATAGAAATGAAACAATAGTACAAATCATAAAGCACATGCTAGAAAACAAAGGCAATTGCTAGGAAACATTAAAAACCAGAAAATCAAATAAGATGATGAAGTAGAACCAAAATTTTAGTCCAAATCAATATATACAAATGTAATAACTTCACACTCAGGGTTATAAAATTAAATCCAACTACATAGGATTATTACATTCAACCCTGTATTGTTTATAAAGAGACCTACCTAAAACCAAATGATTTAAAAGCATGAATGTAAAAGAATGGAAGAGATGAAAAATTCAAATGAAAAGAAAACAGTTTCCACAACGTAAAGTAAAAAATAGTAGCAAAATACATAAAACAAAACAAAAAATGCTAGAAATGCAAGAAGGGCAAAAAAAGTGTATTTGTCTCCTTTGACAAGTCAAGCAGACAAAAGAGTTTGTAGAGTAGCAAGCTCTTTTCTACAGAAGGCCCACCAAAGGTACAAAATTTCACTCTCCTAGGGAGATGGCGAAGAAACAGAGAAAACCGTACCTGTGAGGCCAGGCTACTACCTGAATAGAGAAGTTCTAAATAGACCTATTTTAATTTAAGTCAAGAACACAAGAAAGACAAAGAAGAGCTTAAAAATCCAGGAACATTAGAAATAGTAGAAACTACATCACAAACAATTAAACAAAAATAATGGGAAAAATGTACAATGCTATATGAAAAGGGACTCAGAATACATACAGCAAAGCAAAAGCATAATTGTGGCATGTTTAGAAAATAACTATAATGAGCCCAGCACATTTTCCAAAATCTATGGGATATGGCCAAAGTTATACTCAGAGGTAAATTTGTAGGCTTAAATATTTTCATTACCGAAGGGGAAGAGTGAAAATAAATTATAGAACTCAAGAATTTAAAAAAGAGAACATAAAAACAAATTAAAATAATGGTACCTAAAATACAAATGTGGGAGGGGAACATTTTTGGTTAAATTGGGTAAGAAGAACAGATTAATCCAAAAAATTTGTTCCCAACCCTACTTGCGGTCCTTGGAATATATTAGCGTACAAGTGTTTTAAAATCAAGGTCCATTTAATTCTTAAGGAACAGCTCATCCCAATCTTATCAAACTCTTTCAGACAGTATGAGTTTAAAAAAAAATGCAAAACAAAAAAACTAAGAGGCCAGTATATACTCTAAATTCATACTAAAAGAAAAAAAAAGGAAATGATAAATATAGTTTAAGATACCTTAAATATTAGTATTGACCAAAATTGATTATTATACTCTAATAATTCTCTACGAGAAATTAAAATTAAATATTAGTTTCTTAAATTTTAAAATAATAAAGTGTTTTATTTAAATTCAAGATATACTTTTCTTTTTCTTAAAAGTCCATAGCCCAAACGGAGTCTAAAACTATTCTCCCCAATTCCTTTTTCTGTTGAGGCCCACATGGATTCCATCTCAAAGCTTATGTTCTTTCCACAGCTGGATCCTCTGTAGTTTTGCTTGGTAATTGGTAAAGTTTCTCCAAAGTCTCTGACTTGTAACTGGTTCAACATGAAGCCTGTAGTGTGTCTAATTATATATTTAAACTGCCAAGGTTAGGTGTACAATTTAGTGAATTTTTCAATATGTACAGTCATGTAATCATTACCCCCACGATGAGCTATAACATTTCCATCATTCCAAAATCTTCCTGTAGCACTCTTCAGTCAACCCCGGAACTCTGACAACCACTCAGCTGCTTTTTATTATTATAGTTTTGACTTTCCAGAATTTTGTATGAATGGAGTGTTAACATACATACACTGTTTTTGTCATCTTCCACTTTTAAGATGCATCCATGCTGTTCCTTGTTTTCAACAGTACATAATCTCAAACTGTAAACAACCCAACTGTTCACCAACTGGTCAATAGATACATAAAAATTAATATACATTTATACAATGGAATCATTCACATTCTAAAGAGACCAAAATATTAGGAACAAGATTATTAGAGGGCTAACCACATAACCACCAAATTTGGTAGACAAATCCTTCTTGATCCTACATACTCCAGGACCCAGTACTTAGCATTACTAAAGTCCAAGACAGAATTTCATTCCTATACAAGGAAAGGAGTACAGAAATATGTCTTTGGTTTTAGCCAAAACCCAGAAATAGACAGTCAGTCTGGAACACCAAGCAGTCTGTGCCAGTTGTCTGGAATCCATGATGAATTCATTAACATTCAATTAGGAAAAGTCCCAACAAGAATTTAATTTTGTCACAATACATTTACCACATCTAGAAGCCAGCCATTCTATGAAATCTGCCTCCTAGGCAAGGTTCTCACATTTGTTTCAGCAGGAGAATCATACTCAGCAGATTTCTGAACCAGAGCTGCTATTACTTGAAGCCTGAGCCATGGTGGGTAGAAACTGGGGGTGGGGTGGACTTGTATGAACCAAACTTCAGTTATGTGCTCCTCAAAATACTTTTTCCCTCTATTTTCAATTCTATAAATTGCTCAGTAATAATTCCTCTGGGCACAAGCTGTATCTGCATCCCTACTTACTATAATTCTCTTGTCTTAAAATACACTCTAATATTTTTGTGGAGTATTTTTCATTCTTGAGCTTGTGGACAAGTCTCTATATCCCCCCACAGAATGCTCTGCAGCCCCAAATGCAGAATGGAATTTGATTCAGTGTATTTAGTCATGTCTACATAAGCCTAGCTCTAACAATTTAAAGCTAGAAATTCCCCTGTGCTCTATAGAACAAGCAAATTCAGATGCCTTACATTTTAACTGCAGTAGAAATTGTTCTGCACATAAATGCTTAAAAAGACTAGAAATATCCATTTTTTTTTACCATCAAATCTTTGCTTCAGCCAAACATTCCCAGGAAATCCTGCACCTGTGTTGCAAGCTAGCAACAGCCTGCAAAGTGACACTGCCTGAGCCTGCAAGGGTGGCTTTGGGACTGGGACTGTGATCTTAGCCACTGGTAGGGCCAGTGTTGGAGAGGCCTCCCATGACTGTTGCTGTCTTTATGATTATATTCCCCCTTCATCTGTGCCCACTTTCTAAGGTCCCTGTAACACTGTGATATACCTGAGAGGCTCTCTCAGCCCCAGTACAAACCACTCATCCCTTTTTCTTTTTGCTTATACCCACTTAAACCCATTCACCTGTACGTATCTACCTTTGACATTCCTGAGGAATCCAATATCTTCCCTAAGATTCAAGTACTTTTTCCTACCTCTCTGCTTTTATTAGCATAGCTGTTCAACTGTGGACAAAACATCCATTAACAGGAGTCACCATCAAATGCAAAATACCACATAGGCCAAGGCTTAAAACCTGTAGTCCAGATGCCACTAAAAATCATTAAAATCAAAACTCTATTCAAATCTTAAAAGTCTAAGGCCAAAACCCACATGACTAGGCTCCACAAAAAAACCTCTCCTCCTGTATATTTTGTATTATATTTTGTGTTCTATTCCATAGTTATTTCCAGTCATGCAAAAGGTATTGGTGTCTCCTAGGGTACTCCAGAAATAGTTGTATATAAGTAGTAATATTAGGTACTGAGTCCTGGACCTGTACCTTCCCTGGTGAGGTTCTAAAAAATTTGAAAATTCTAAGAGTGACTGGTTAGGTGGAAGATAGAATATGGCCATTATTTTTGATACCAACTGGATTGAGGAATGTAGTTAGTATGGAATCCAAATGGGCCTCTTAACTGAACTCAAAAATTAAGGAATTATATTCACCCACTTACCAACATTAGGCCAAAGAAATGAGCTCCATGTAGGTAGTCTGACCAAGTGATGTTTGTAGCATTGAGAAGCAGAGGAAATCCATGATTTCTATTAGCACACAGACGCTAAGATAAAGAGAATAGCCTGGGCTACACATGCCATTTTTTTCTTCCTAAATTTCTAATCAGCTAAGTCACTGCAGTAACTCTAGGGAGGAGTGATTAATGGGAAAAGAAGTGGCAAGAATCTTACTGCTATTCGAGCACCATGCATACAGAAGAAAGCATCATGATTGCCAATAATTTCTTCCAACAAGTTTAAACAAATTCATCACAAGACAACTTATTGTCTTTGAAATATAGATCTGTGGTCTCTTAGTTGTTCAAAAGATCTAGTATGGGAGCCTGGGAGGCTCAGTCATTAAGTGTCTGCCTTCAGCTCAGGTCATGATCCCAGGGTCCTGGGATGGAGCCCCACATCAGGTTCCCTGCTCTGCGGGAAGTCTGCTTCTCCCTCTCCCACTCACCCTGCTTGTGTTCCCTCTTTAGCTGCTCTCTCTGTCAATTAAATAAATAAAATCTTTAAAAAAATTAAAAAGATCTGGTAAAATTGAAAAATGAAAGTTATCTATATATTCTATTTAAGATTATCAAAATTAGATTGTATTTTTCCAGTTATAA